ACCCGTATAAGGAATCTGCTTGTGTTTGCCGATCCCTCCTGGGCATTCCATCGCCAGTTATAATACTTTCTGCAGACTTTTTAAAATAAATGGAATTTTATATTTTAGGATGATCCAGTCAAAACTCTAAATGCAAATAGAAAATGTGAGAGGATTGAAATAAATATGTATGTTCAAAGGTCCTCTCCATTCAGATTTATCTTTAGCTTTAAAAAAAAACAGTTCTATGTCCAAAGCAAGTAGAATAGCACTTTTCAAACTTTTATACTCAGTGAAATATTGTGAAATTTAAAATTTCAAGTCAAGGGTTTTATTTGAGGACAGACCAAGACCCTATAACCTTTGTAACATTTGAGAAAAATTTTATTCATGGTTAAAATAAAAAAACAGTAATTTTCCCAAATATGGTAAAAAAAAAAACAACAAAGAACGCTTCTATAAGAAATCTGCGAAAGATATTTACATAAAGAAAGCGACACATTTTTTGTCACAGGTGATCAATTCACTTTTTAAAATAGCTTTTTAAATTTTTTTGTCAGCTTATTAAGTTTTAACTTAACGTTTTACGTTTTTTATTTTTATTTTATTAATGTATGATATGTAATATATTACACATAGTAGCCAACATTTGTTTACTGGTTGTTTTCTATGAAGCAGTTTTACTCAGCTTTAAGACCATGCAGACCACATTTGACCGCACAACTCTGCCTTGTTTGCTGCAAAGTGGTGTTTACATTCTATTCACCAACAATGGTAATATGGACAATGAAGGAATAAACAAATTATTTAATAGGGTGGCTGAATAAAAATACATCAAATGTATTGGTTATGGAAACCAAATTATTTTCTTATCTAACTTAGATAGCAGTAAGCTCATTACAGTCCCTTTGCTCCCCTCATTGTGGGGTTAAGGGACTTGCTCTGAGACCCAGAGTGGTTGTCTGTGGGGTTTGAAAAAGGTACTTTCAATCAGAATACAAGCACTCTGGTTACAAGGTCACAACTACCCATAGAGAATACTGTACTTTTGTTGTTGATTGTTTTCATTAAATAAGAAATAAATACATGTTAGTTTGTGGTATTAATCTAAAAAAATGTGGACACATTTTTGACTGGGAAACTGGATTTAATCCAGAACAGGATTTTATTTGCTCAGGATGCCACTTTTTATGCAAATGAGTTTAACTTTCCTAAAATGACGAACAGCAATTCTTGATTAGCCCTCTAAGTTCAGTATAAATCATGGTTGCATATTATTTTTCTGTAAATGCAAAACATCCAGTTTTTCATTCAAGGAATTCCATACAATGTGCAGTAGTTCTACCAGAACAATTAAGTGTCCCAGCAGTGGCACTCTGTCTTCAGTCTTTTCCACGCATTTCTAGGAAAACCATGTGACACTGTCAGTATCTAACCCTCCCTTTCTGCTGTGTCCCTGTCATCCATCTGCTGTTCACCATCCCCCTTTCCCCCAGTAAGCTGACACAGCGCATTTAAACATTAGCTGCTTTCTTCCTAATAGGATCTGAGGGACTTACATTGTCATCTGATAAAACTAAGGCGCTTCATAGCTACGCTGCACCCTCTTAACCAATTTGTACTCAATTAGGATAATGGGGAAATGAGCAAAGAGGGACAGCTTTAATATATTAATGTGATAAAATGATTATCAGTTACTCTTGCCTATGACTCAGGTGCTATTAGGAGCATTTCAAAAGGCTAAATAGTCATTAATGAAGAGAGCAGTGATGGAAAGTGTTAAAGAGTAAAAAATAATAAAATCATTAATTTGATATGTAGGGTTATAGTGAAATAAATCAAACAGATCCTGAAGTCACATATTTAGGACTAAAAAAACCTGTAATTTCATGATAATGTTCTTATGAAGTATTATTGATCTGATCAACTTGCTTTTCTCCTTTTAGAAATAAGAAAGAGTTTTAAATGATATCTCAAATAAACTGCCTTAGTTATATATTATTTTAAAATATCAGCCTATACTAATTATTTTAAAACCTGCATGATTAAGTTAAAATATTTGTTGAAAAACTGTCGAAAAGTTTAATTGAAACATTTCATTGCCACAAAATGCTGAGAGAAACATATATAGACACTGAGAGCATCAGATGCCTGACTTTCTTTATGGTGGCCGTTTGGCTTCCAAGTGCCTTGCAAATCCCTACCTATGTTGTCCTGTTGAAGTTCTTTCAAAGGCAAAAGCAATTGGCTTTTCAACTTCTTCGTTCTTGGAAATCCATGTTGACAATCAAGAAAATGTGCTCAATGAAAAGCCACTTAACCTGCATCCCGTCTGTTGAGGTAGAGCAAAGGCATGTTTTTAAGTAGTTGTTAGTCTTTACATTATCTCAGCTCAGCTTGTTACACATGTCGCTGATGCTGCTCTGGAGGAATTTGCTAGTTAGCTTCTTTCACATAAAATGGAAATGTTTCAAGTGATATTTATCTGTGATAAACAACATGTTCAAAGTATGGAGAACTGACTGACTATGAAACATTTTGTATTTGCATTTCTGAAATGTAAAAAAGAATGTAAAAACAAAAAGATTTTTTAGCTGATCTTAAGTATTATCAAGAATATGAAAGAAATCAAAAGTTAGCAAACATAGGATAAAATAAATGAACACAAGCATCAAGTAATCTCATTTATGCAAGGATTAATTCAATGCAACAAAGCTGTTGATACTGTATTAAGTAAGAGTAACTTCATTAAATAAATCAATATCATATACCGGTAATTCATATAATATCTGACACGTCCTTACAAAAGTATTGATATAAGCCCCTTTTTTAGGTTTTTGGATAGCACATGTCACTATTAAGGTCTTGGGTTCCAATCCCAATAGACAGTTAATGGTAAAAAAAAATATCCTTTAAGTATTGTTTATCTAGGGTGCACTTTTGCCATTGAATGCCATGGATAGACAGCAGCCCACCTGAAAATGTAAGCAGGTACTGAAAAAGCATCAAAGAATTTGAAAAGATACTCATCCAAATTCCTTATCTCAATTTGGAATGAGAATTATTTTTTTCCCCCAAAAAAAACATGAAATAATAAAGTGAATATACAACTGCTATCTTAATAGTTTCAGAATTTTTTTTACACGAGGTTCACTTTGCCATCATTAAACACACTCACATACTTTTGTCCTGTTTTGTCTTGCCACTTGTTTACTCCCCTTGACTTTCATTGATTTTTCAGTAATAACGCTAAATGTAACCATTAATAGTGCATACCTATGCCTGAGCTAAATCTAAACTGAATTAACACCATAGTGGTACAACTAATCATTAGCAAAAACATAAAAACGAGGATCAACAAAATGTCCTCATTTTCCTTGTAAAATCAGTGAAATTATCTTCACTCTTATACACAAACAAGAACAGACTCACTCAAAAACAATAGGGTTTGAAAAACATTTACTTTGTGAAGTACTTTTCCATGCTGTTGTTTTGTGTATTATGCGCAAAGAGCCCCTAAATATATCTTCATGTAGGTGGAGTGAGGTCAGAGGAAATCTCCCAGTGAAGTCTTTAGGCTCATTAAGGATGGGCTTGATCTCTGCAGCACCTACTGAAGTGGCAGCTTTGGCCGGACCAGCTGGCAAAGGAGAAAACTACAGGCTGCACAATGAATTAAGAGCAGCTGAGGTCTGCCACCAATTCCTGCATAGACTTTTGGTCTTTAGTAAATTATCCTGACAAACATAAAATTGTTGGTTTGATTAAAGTTAAAAAAAAAGAACAACATAATTTTTAAATTATGCAAGAATCCTGTAAATAGTACACATTAAATCAAAAAAGACATATGATAATAATGTGCTTCTTAACATCCAGTTAAATACCTACTTTACAGCATGATAGTTTTACTGAGTATATCTTTTATGTGTCATAGTCCATCACTGTGTCTGTTGCCCCCTAACATTATGAAGAATAAAGGGATTAGGCAAAAAAACAAAAGAAAACTCTAAACACAAGCCATTATCTTTTGGACAATAGAGTTTTTGAAAGAAAGTTTTGTTGAGGCTTCATTAGCAATGGCCTCCCTCTGCGGGCTGAAAGCATGACACATTTGGAGCAATTACTTGACCAGAAAACAACTGTCAGTCATTCTTAAAGGGGAAGGATTCCAATTAATAAACCTCTTAAGGCCCCTGGTTTTACTACCATTCCCCCCAACAGCTTCTTGGTGTCTCATGTGGTTAAGGAGAGTTTTGTCAGAAGAGAAAGACATTACATGTCGTTGTTGCGGCTGCATGGATCACCAGCATTAGGTCCTACGTGCAATTGTTTGCAGGGGATTTGAAGGACTTAACGGGGAGTAACAAGTGCCCACAGAAGATATTGTTGGTCTACTTATGGTCCAGATAGACACCATGTGCGAAGTCTAGTAAACCTAAAGGTAAGTTTTTTATATACTTCCTTACAGGTCTTTCACAACTTCAATATTATGTAGTACATGGTTAGGATTTTACTCTGAAATGGCTACATAAAAAAAAAAAAGTGATTTGATAAAAAGCCAGTGAAAATTTGCACGGGTACATGATTCAGTTTTTTATTTAAGTAATAAATAAAAACGTACATACAAAACCATGTGGCCTAGCATAAAATGCATTGATCTTTCATTGTTCTCTGTCATATATCTCTTCTCAAAACTAGGCCTGTATGAGGTAAAATTTAAATCAACTAAACAACCATAGTGACTCAAAAAAAATTCCAACATGGACCCATGGCTTTAAATTGGATAACAATGAACAAATTAACATTATATGTCAATACATTTTTAAATAACATTTGGTTATGAATAGATTTTATAAACTGCATTATTTAAAGATGTTAATGAATGTACTGTGACTACATAATGCAATCTTTTGCTAATGCTGAATAAAAAAAATCTTCTGTATTTAATATAGACTGCAGAAATCATCCAGAAAGAATCATAAAAAATATGTTTTCTCTTTCTTTTAATCCTTTGCAGGAAAAGATGCTAGTTGGTTCTGCTGCTGTGAAAGGAGTGCCCCATCTTTACTGAAGTGATCCTTGGAGTATTTAACTTATTGTATATGTCTACTTCAGTGCAATTTGAAGTAGAGCAAACGCGCTGAATAGTAGCTATAAACTGTTTTGCCTCAGTTTGTAGCCTTTAGCTTTTTTTTTTTTTTTTTTTTAACAAGGAGTACTGAAAGCGATCCTGGAGGCTCGGATGCATTTGTCAATGGATACCCTTGGAATAGTGGATGATAGTGGACATGGACTAGGGGACAATTATGACATTGCAAAAGGTACTGGATCAACAGCTGGAGGAAGAGTCCACAGCATCGATGTCATTCTAGGATTCACAAAAGACCAGGAACCTTTGCTCCATTCGGTGGGAGGAGGAAACAGTGCAAAGGACTCTGGAGCAAACGCACAGGATCCTGGAAAGCAGGTCCCATCAGACCCATACGGACACCTATCAGAACTAGGGGACAACTCCCAGCACTCTGCTTACCATGGTGAGTCTGTCAAGCTAAGGAAGTACACCTAACCACAGTATTATTTTTCTCTGAATACAGCTTACGGTATTAAAAAGAAACAAAACAAAAAAACTGATAATACAGGCCTTGTGCCTGAGGAACTTATTTTATCACTTACTGGAAACAGTATCTAAATTGAAATTGTAGCTTTTTATTTAAAAAGTGTATACATTGCATGAACAGAAGGGAAGAAATTCCACATTAAATTCCACCCATTATTAATATATGGACTTATAATTATACTAATTATGAATTTTTTTTCAAAATCAAACTGCTGAATTTTATTTACAATTTTAAATTTCTCTTCAGATGTTTCTATATTTACAGAAATGCAAAGCTCACTGTAAATCATACACTTTGAGTCCTATCAGTATTTTCTTTATGCATTGCAAATTCCCTGCTTATTTCCCTGCAAGTAAAACTGATCTAAATAACTTTCGTTGACGTAGAATCACTAGATAAATCAAATCCTAATTAGGATCATTCAATCACATAATAAGACCTAATGGATCTCTTTAATTTGTTAAGCCTTATACATGAAATAAGACTCCAGAAATTCTATATTATATCAGTGCATTCTTAAAATGTAACTATCAAAGGTACATAAAAGTATTTCCATCTTCCACCAGAGGGCATAAGACTAGAGTAAGGTTAAATGGTTCAGGCCTATGAGGAAAATACCAAAGAGGTCTCAGAAATAGTTGCCTGTTTTTCCTCACTTTATTGTTTGTTATTGTTTGATTGATTGAAAACTGATGTACTATCACAGTGAATATTAGTAACAGACACATGCACATGGTTTGATTATAGGGTCTGATTGTTTGCAGGTTAGTACAGAGAGAAGACAGAACTATGGCAGTTAGATACATCCATATTCATTACATGTTGAACATGGAGAATATGTATGAAATTAGGTCAGACAATTCATTTAATTTGCTTTCACAGTTATTTTTGTATTAATTTAGTTTATGTGTGTATTATAATTGTTCTTTTCATTATATGCTTTTATTTATTGTTATGGATAAGAAGTTCTTATCCATAAACATTCATACAGCGGTTGATAAAGTGTAACAATAATCTTAAGCTTAGTTTATGTTGAGGAACTATATGTTTATTATCTAATTGCAATGCCTCTTAAAAATCAAATGATTTGTGTGCTTCTTTTCTTAATATCCCTCTGCTTACACATGGATCAGACATGGTGTTGCACACTGAATCCATTCTGTGAACAAAAAAAAGCAGATTAATACAGTTATATAAACACATGATAACTGTTGAAAATCTGCTACCAACCTGACTTTGAGATGGCAGGAAGGGAGGGGAGTAAAGCGGAAAAATATTTTCCATTCAGAAAAAAACATATTTTGTGGTTTTATTTAGAGCTGGAAAATGTTATTGGTCCCCAATTCAGATCATTGAAACTGCATTAAACCTTTTTATGTGGTTCATTTTGATGTTTCCCTGCGACAGACTAGCTCCCTGTCCAGGAGGTACCCAGCCTTTCACCCTGAGACTGCAGGAGATAGTCACCACCCCCTTGATGGATGGATGGATGGATGGATGGATGGATGGATGGATGGATTGATGGATGAGATTTTTCTTAATACTGATACCATTGAATTTCTTCAATCCAATTCTAAAAAGAAAGTTTAGACTTTGTTAATCTTAGTGATTCCTGAAAAAGAACAAATCAATAGCTCCGACATTATATTAATGGATCTTACATTTGCTCACCAAGTATTTAACATTGGAAAGGAGATATGCTTAATATATATGATAATAAGCTTGTGTTTCTGGATATAAACGTGCAAGTAACAAATGCTATTGTCTTTTAAAGCCAATTTGGTTTCGTCATCATTCTAATGGCTTTACTCAGCCAAGCAAGACTTGTTAAAATTGTACCATTAATCCACAGACCTTATGTGATATCAAGTGGTAGTTAGATTTTTTTTAATCTGCGAAACTTGTATGTTTCACTGCACATTTTAGGTTCAATTTAGAGAGGTTTGTAACATATATTCCTAAACTATACTAATTCAAAACAGCGGCTTGAGTTATTTTCTAAAACAAAAAAGCTTTACCTTGTAACTTTTTGGATTACCTTACCCAAAACCCCCTTCCAAGTGGGCTCGAAATTGGGCCCCAGATTGTATTATCCAGAGTAGCTGTAAAATGCAGGCTTCTTGGGGGAAACATCAGAATAGATCAGCTGCATTCATATAGGTTCTAGGTATGGTTTTTGCTGACAAAAGTGGGACATTGCTAAGACCAACATAAGATGTCCTGCTGTTTTTGTTAACACAATTTATATTAAGTAAAACAAACTGGATCCAATAAAAAGGCCCATTGTAAGCCCAGTCTCATACCTTAAACTTGCATATGGGGTCCACATGCACATGTCTGTTAGGTAACACTAAAAAAAAGATTATTAGATCCATTTGCAGACATTGGGTGTTTGCAAAGTGCAAGGAAATATCTAACTGACCCTTCTTTTTTATTTTAGAGTCTGACCTATTTTCCAGTGACAAGTGTGATGGAGAAATAAACAACCTGCACAAGGAAGATGATACTGCTGAGGACTCTCCAGAGTCAACAAAAGAAGAGGAACACTCTAAGAAAAAGCACAGAAGAAATCGTACAACCTTCACTACGTATCAGCTTCATGAGCTGGAGAGAGCCTTTGAGAAGTCCCACTACCCGGATGTCTACAGTCGAGAGGAACTGGCTATGAAAGTCAATTTGCCTGAGGTTCGAGTTCAGGTAAAGACAAGAGTAAATGACGGAATGAGTGAGCATTTCAGACCTTGAGTTAATGCCGGGTAACTGCCTACTGTCTTAGCAATTAAAATGAAGGAACCTTTTAAGGAAACAGAAGCAGGATGAGGAAATGAGACTAATGAGTGACATGACTGGGGCTTTTGTTTTGATTTTCATGTTGTATATTCTTTGAATGTCAGCAAGTGCAATGCTGAACTTAATGTACAGTCTTACTGACTCTCCGTCCAGGTGTGGTTTCAGAACCGAAGAGCAAAGTGGAGACGTCAAGAAAAGATGGACACTGGAACCATGAAACTGCATGATTCTCCAATGCTGTCTTTCAATCGCCCCCCAATGCCTCCAAACATGGGCCCAGTGGCCAACCCAATGCCACTGGATCCTTGGCTAAGTTCGCCTATTTCCAGTGCCACGCCCATGCACAGCATTCCAGGATTTATGGGCTCACCACAGACACTGCAGCCTACATACTCTAGCCACAGCTTCCTCAACAGCCCACCTGGCATGGTCCAAGGAATGCAGCCCATGGGTCCACCTCCTTATCCATGCCCACCAACCTTCAACGATAAGTATCCCATAGAGGATGATAGGAGCTCCAGCATTGCCGCGCTCAGGATGAAGGCTAAAGAGCACATTCAGTCGATGGATAAAACTTGGCAGCACATGTGATGTGCTGTCTAATGTGAATGGACATCCCTCTTGCGAGTGCTTAAAGACTGTTTGATTTAAATACCATTGAAGGTGTGTGATACCAAAGATGTAAAGAACTAAATCTGAAGGGGATTTTTTAAATGTCTTTATTAAATACAACCACCTCTTAAGAGATTGGTAAAACGTATTGGGCTCTTTTACTTTGGTTCTAGCCAATCACAATGTCAAGTATAGATTCTCAAATTGAAAAGGCCATAAATGTTTATGTCTTTATTAAAGAATGTATCTGCATCTAGATATATGAACTAATGAAAGACTAGAGCCGTCTTGTCAGGGGTAGTAGTTTTACAAAAGATTTTATTGAACAAACTAATGTTTGATGACATATCTGAGTTGTGTTTTAAGTGTTTTGTTTATTAAAACATACATGTAGTGTTTCCAAAGCTTCCTGAAAATATTTAGCAAGAAACTCTAATATGATAATATTCTTAAATATCCAAGGAATTCAGCTGTTTACGTTTTGTTTGGCTGTTAAAATGTGACTGTTTTTATATCCTGTAACTTTTCAGAGGATTTGTGCAAGACAATAGAATCCTGTCTTATTAAAAAACAAACAAACACGGTTTATCCTTTACAGTTCCTTCAGAAAGCAACAGTCAGAGTTCATGCAAGATTGAGTTTGCAGGTAATCCCTTTATTTATATATAGCTATATTTGGACTTTCATCATTGGTGGTGTCACCCTTCGTAGCTAAAGGGCCATTGATCATTACATAAAAACTGGCTTTGGAGGATTTCTGGGTCACACTTCTTTGCATAGTTGTTTTTTTGTAGCTACATCAAAGCCAGTTGGATCATGTGGTCTGTGTAAGATCATGCCACAACATCTCAACAGGATTTAAATCTGAAGTACTTATCGGCAGCTCCAAAACTTTCGTCTTATTCTTTTTAGCTACTTAAATTAGGAATTGCTGTCATGCTGTAGATCCCTATGTTGCTGCATTGCCCAACTGTGTTTGAGCTTAATAAAAATAATAACTAAAATAATTCCAGGAAATGTTTAGAGGTGGCTATCACTTTGTGCATAGTTGTTGAACCAGAGCCAAAGATTCTGAGGAAGGGTTAGGTTTACTATATATCCAGTAAGAGGGTAAAACTATAAGGAACCTTAAGAACAGTAAAACTGAGCGTGTGTCTGTGCCAAGATGTTCCCCGACTGTGTGTAAAACAGAATCCAGATTTAATTATGCAATGTGAAATCATTCCCACAGGCTTAAAATTTGTGTATAAAATATATCAGGCCAATGAAACATAGTTTCAAATAATGTGGGCACACATGATCCTGAAGGGATAAATACTTGGTAAAATGATAGGTTTCATTTAAAAGAATATTATTGCAGTTCATGTTCCAAACTGATTTTGTTCTATTTATAGCATAGAGACACAAACTCCAATTATATACTAAGTCAAATGTGAGGGCTTTTATTTTGTAGAGCATTTTTATGTCTTCTTGTCATACAGTACAAATCTAGTATAGTTCTTATGTTTAGGAAAATATAAGATCCCTCTGATATATGAGGAATACTTCCCTTTAAATTAATCACATTGTATTCTATTTTGAGCATACCAGTTACATATTAAATACTACAAAGTGATGCCTTTATTTTGACATGTCCGGTAGTTTTTCTTTTTTAAAGGCTATATTTAAAGCCTGTTTTGTAGAGGGGTATAAGGTTTTAATTCAAAACTCAACACTAGCTTTTTATCTCTAGTTAAATAATTATATAGGACTTACTTTCCCAATAAAGTGTTACATGAATCTGTAAAGGTTTCTCTGATTAGAATCTTTGAACTTTTATTTGACAAACTGGACTGCTCTGTTTAGACCAACTTGGAACTCGCCATACTGGCACATTTTTATTGAAAAATTCATTGTAACTCCTTAGCTGGTTTTAGCAGCTGGAGCAATGCTGACTAAACGTAAAGGATTGTGCTCTTCTAAGAACTTTGTGTGACTTTGGCCTTTAACAACCTGGCTCATCCTCTCTCGTGGTCAATTTCATATTTGTTCCTTAATCCCAATAATAAGATTGGATAATGTAAACAAAGTTGTACCTTCTGGATTCCTGCTGAAATACTTAAAACCAGTCTAACAGTTTGAGAATTCTGTGGCTGTTTTTTTTTTTTTATTAGGATGGATTTGACAGAAAACTGCAGGAAGGAGAAAAACAGAGCCTTATATCTACAAACTGGTCATAAAGATCTGACTGTAAAGTGAAATTTCTGCCAGTAAGTGTGTTAAAAAAATCTGTTTCCCTAAAATAGATTGTTCTTATTATCTGCCAGACTTAATATCTGCAGCTGCAACACATTTCAGATCCGTTCTAACAGTAACTTGCAGGGCGTTTTTTTTTTTTCTTCTAACTTTGTCTTTTGAATATTTTTCCTTTTTTTTGGATAAAAAAAAAAACATTAAGTGAGAGAAACTCAGATCATATGACGGACACCATGTTCTCATCTTTTGCAACAATCTTAAATAAACCTAACTGAGGTATTTTCAGTTCTTGGAAAATCAAATTTTTCCACTACTAACTTGGGACTGTAAGATATATCTCTTGACTATCCAAGGACTTCGTTCAACCAGCATCAGGTTCCAACCCGCACACAAGGCTCCAGCCTTAAGAGAAGAAGCCCGTTAGAGAAATAAGGCTCAACCTTGGCACCGCATTCTCCAGTGTTGGGACCTACAAACTCAAATTAAAGCTACAGTGTGTAACTTTTAGCGACATCTAGCGGTCAGACTGCAGACTGCAGCAACATGAACATCTCCCCCCCACCGCTCCCCCCCCCCCCCCCAACAGTACAGCGAGCGTTACGGGACAAAATGTCTTCCACGACGTCCGCATCACCTACTTTTACAGATAGTATTTCATTAGTCTGTGTGGGGTATAGATTTCATGTAGACCTAAGATAATAAATATACCCGTTATTTTTTCTACATCGTTGTGACGTTTTGGCGATCTCGCAATCGCTAGTTTGTTGGCTCTGCGCTGCCGTAGCGCAAAGATGTCTGCCTCCATGGCTGCGAGACCCGCTCCTATGTAATTATAAATAACGAATTCTAAGGCAACGCAAATATTAAGGTTAAGAGGCTGAGCTCGTAGATGATGATAAATAACATAGTTATGTATAATATATTACATTTCTGACTGTATATCCCTGTAATTATTACACACTGTAGCTTTAATACATGGTGGTGAGACACTCACTCAGTGAGTGATTTTTTTTTTTTTTTTTTCCTGGAACAAGGGTGAACTAGGATTAAGAAAGGTACAATCTTAGAGGTTAAAATTCCTGTGTAAGATAATAATGGGTCTTCTTTAACTTTTTGTTATGGTTCTTATTTGTTGTGACTCTGAGTTTTCAGTTTTCTGTTATCAGTTGTTTTGTTTTTATTTTCCATGATCTTCAAGTATTCTTTAGTTACTCTCTGTTGCCCCCTTGTGATTGTTTTCTTTCCCCTTGGATTCCCTCTTGCCAGTTCCACCCACACCTGCTCCTCATTCAGCTCGTTAGTCCACCTCTGCAGTCACTCAGTGCTGGTTCCTTCTTGTTGCTGCTGTATTGTCTACTCTGCTTGTCTCTCCCCAGCTCCTCAGACTCGTTTTTCCCCTGATGTCTCCATGATTTTGGTTTGTTTTATTTTTTAAGTTCGATTTCAGGATTTCTGCCTCTGCTTATAGTTCCTAAGCATCAGATAGCAATATGGGAGGTCACTGTGGAAAATGAAAATTTTATAGGAAGCATTCAGGTTCTTCTTACAACTTCTTTCCTTACTTGAAGTGCGAGAGGTGTGGACTTGAGTCTCATGACTTGGATACAAGTCAAACGTGAGCCATATTTGATGACTTTTGACTGAACTTGACAAAATGTAAAAAATATTTCACATCAGTAATTTGTCACTTCAATTAGACTTGAGCCTAAACAAACTTGAGAATCGAAACAGAATGCTCTGTATCATTTATTGTGTATATGTGTGCGTCTGTCTGTCCAATAAAATTTGATCCATTTTTTTTTTTTTTTTTTTATCCAACAGCGTCCATCAAATCAAATTGCATAATGATGAAGTTGCCGGGTGACCTGCAACTTTTAGATTTTTAAAAGCCATCTACAAACTTCTAAAGAGCATTCCTTACTTCATCCTATCTCTTTTTATGCCCTACATTTATATTTAAAAATAAACAAAATTTGTTTACACTGCACTATTTTTCTTCTTTGTTCATTACTTGTTTTTGATGTGGACATTTTATGTTTTTAATAGAATCAACAGAAAATATAATCTTAAAAATTAAATGCCATCAAGTTTTTTTATTATGATATAACAAGCATGGCCAATGTCAGCAAATCTTTTTTACTGCAATTGGACTTGCATATGTTTTCATAAATAAATAAAGAAGAGTACATGATGTGTGTAAATGTATTTTTACTCTTCGGTTAAAAGGACTTGGAACTCAAACTGCAGGACTTGGGACCCGATTTAAGACTAGTCAACTTGACTAGTGTAGTGAACTTGACTCAGGACAAGTCCTCAGGACTTGAGGTCAAAGACTAGACTTATTTATGCCTATCAGAACAATGACTTGTTCCCACCTATGCCCAGTACTATTTGGACAGCACTTATCATGGCAACCTCTGGTGCATTTCTCTATGGCTAAAGAGTCCTCACTGATTTGCTGTATTTGGATGGACCTATTGTCTTATAAGCTCTAAAACGTAGTATGAGCTACCATCTTAAAAGCTGTATTTGGGCAAGGAATGTTGCCCTGACATTTCTGACTTTTGTGGGCATTGCAGTTAAAATCCCCTACTAAAAGATCAGAAATGACAAAGTACAAATAAAACATGCCACAAAGCCACATCATCCTCCCAGGGAGAAATATTCAATAAAAAAAAGGAATACAGAGAGAAAAATTTTAAAATGTGGTATAAATAAAATTTGAATTTGAAATTTCCTTTGAGTGGTTCATTTGGTTCCACTGTTCTGAAAACAACCATAATGGAATTAGGAAAAAGAGAAAAACTCTCAAGGTCTCGGACGATAAGGGTCAATTGGCAACGGCTGTTTTCTATTTTTGCATCCTCATGCATATACCCAGACTTAAGCACTCACTCCTCGTTGGATCTGGACACCTGGCTTACCCACTACTCCCCCAGCCCTACTTGCTTAAGATGGATCCCTGTCTTCCCTTCTTCAACCCTTCCCGGCCTAAAAATGCTTCTTCAACCTTACCAGCTAGAAGAGGTAGGCCTACTGCAGATTCACCATCCACAGATGCCGTGTGCTGCTGCGCATATGGCAAGTGTGCAAACCTGTAAGACCAGTTATTCCTCCTCTGAGGGCTGGAAATCTGATGGCATGCTAAAGGAGAAGGAAGAGAAAAAATCTGACCATAGATTGGAGAGGCAACATAAAAAAAAATAAAAAGAAATGTGATAGATTAAGTTGTGGTATTAAAAGATGGTAGAAGCAAGAAAAGAAACCAGCAAAAATATAGGGTAATGCTGGGAGTTTTTGAACATAACTGTTCAGTTAAACTCTTAGGGTTAAGAGTTTAAAAAAAAT